AAAGAAAGAAAAAGAAACCAGGTGGCAAAATTGCAGGAACAAAGATACAGAATACACTGCTAGAAAGAAAATTAAGGATCTGAACCTGGGGTAAAGAAGGAATAAAGGACAGTGGTTACGAGTGTTATGTGCATGTACAAATCTTCCAAAATGAAATCTATTAATCCAATATGCACTAATAAAAAATGGGGGGGGCAGGGATCTGAATTAAGCAGGACCTAAATTAAGATACTTCCTACACCAGGCTCTTTGCCTCGGACATGCTAGGTAAGCACTCTACCACTGAGCTACAGCCCCAGTCCTAAACACCTTTTTCTTCCTACTCGACATCTTCTAGTAGCAGCTCATCTCCTGGTCTTTCCCTTTCTTATTCACAACCACATCTATCTGCAAGTGTTCCCTTTGATTCTCCAAGCAACACATCTAGGCCCTGGTCAGAGATACTGGTGTGAACAGAGATAGTCGGATTCCCTCCATGGATACTGCCTCAGCATCAACTGTACACCAAGATACACGAACAAAATCTCTCCTGGCTTTCTTGTCTCTTGAAGGTTTCTGCCTTCAAATATATACATGAGGCTATCTTCTTGCGGCAATTATCTCAATAAATCCTGTCCTGATAACAGCAGTTACAGAAATGGTTTTTAGATTTGCAGATGTTTTTTAAACCTTCCACACACGACAAACATCTATAAAGAAAGTAGCTTTCGGTAACTTACTAAATACATCTCTTCTGTACCAGCTGTCCTCGTACTTCTCCATCTCAAGCAGGTTTCGTTAAATACTGAAATATTACTGATGGTATGCTTTACTGCACAAGGAAAAGAATGAGAAATAAATTTACTACACAAAAATACTAACTTTTAATTGAACCATTTTCCAAGGATTCACATTTGCATAGGATGAATGCAGTGGTGTTTTAAGCCAGAAAGTAGCGGTAGCAGTCTCCAAGAAGCATCCCTATTATATTTATTTAAATCTGTCCGGATCAAAGACTTAAGATTAGAGTATCTCTTACAAATTAAGTCTATTCACTGCAAACTTAGTTACTAAGTTTGAAACTTGATTTACTGAGCTTAAATAGTAACTCATTGTCTTGGGGTTTGGGCATCTGCACTTACACAAGTAAGCATCAGTTTGAAATCCTGAGATGAGAGGAACATATCAGCACAGAATGGCTCCTGGGAGAGCTGAGAAATGTTATCTCAAGTAATCAGACTTTTCGTGATGAAAAGGATGCATCTCTTCCTTTGGACTTCCACATGTTTTATCATCATAGAAGCACTAATATCAGGCATGATGGCACATGCCTGTAATTCCAGCATGCAGGAGGCTAAGGCCGGAGGATGCTGCAAGTTCAAGGCCAGCCTGGGTTACATAGTGAGCTCAAGGCCAGTCTGAACTACATAATGAGACACTGTCTCAAAAAAAGAAAGAAAGAAAGAAAGAAAGAAAGAAAGAAAGAAAGAAAGAAAGAAAGAAAGAAAGAAAAAGAAAGAAAAGAAAAAAGGAGAGGAGAGGAGAAGAGAGGAGAGGAGAGGAGAGAAGAGAAGAGAAGAGAAGAGAAGAGAAGAGAAGAGAAGAGAAGAGAAGAGAAGAGAAGAAAAAAAGAAAGAGTTCTTGGCCTCCACTTAGTTTCACAGTAACTGATCTACAAGTTAGTCCAGGTCTGGTACAGTTTACTGCAGAGACACACCCACACCTCCAGTTTTTTAAAACAAAGACTACTTATTCCAAACTCTGCTATCAGAAGTTACTACTTCCTTTAACAATGATCTCTGCCCTCAAACTGGAAATACTACAGCAGACTTGCTAAGAAGTTTCATAGGAATGCTGTGTGATTAACGATTAATGATTAATAAAAACAAGTCCCAAAGCACCTGAGAGGAAGAAATTCCCACGAGGGGCACGGCTGTATCGTATTGGCCTGAGAGGCTGCTATGAATGAAGCCAAGCTGGCGACGTGACCCCTCTCTCCAGACTAAGCAGGTCTGCGCTGGGAAAACCCGTTCCTCAGACCACAACTAAACTTGAAGCGATGCAGGAGAGAGCAGACAAGGAAGCAGAGATAATTCAGACTAACGCAACCCCGCTGCTGGGTACAGGAGTTGGTTACAAACATTAGCACCGCTGAATCAAGGGGCCCTGTGTCTCTGGAGTGCTCAGAACACAACTAGTATGATGTGACAGCTCAGGTCATACACAGAGATGGGGTTTCCCAGCTTATTCAGTATGGCCAGCTAATCCAGAAGGACGGCACAACCAATCACTAAACACGCTGCACCGGACTCACCTGTTAATACAGAGATAGAAATCTAAAATAAAGTATTAGCAAATAGCAGTCAGCAGCACGTTCAAAGAACAATGTGCCATGACTAGGGAAGATTTATCACCAAAGACAGAGAGGATTATTACTGGAAAAACTTTAATGGGCTCAAAGAGGAAAGCCATACGTTTACCTTTATAATCATAACAATTAATATAAATTCCTAACTTAGAGTCTTAGTTTAAAAGGACTTCATTTTATAGAAATTCTTTAATTTAATAGTGTTTATTAGAAACCACCATTTTCAGTGATAAAACAAGTAATTTCTCATATAGTTAGAACAATATGGCCAGGTATGGTGGCACACATCTGTACTCCCAGCACTCAGGAGGCTGAGGCAGGAGGATCACTGTGAGTTTGAGACCAGCCTGGGCTACAAAGTGAGTTCAAGGCCAACCTGAACTGTATAGTGAAACCTTGTCTCAAAAAGATTAAAAAAAAAAAAAAAATACAAGGATGCCTGTAGATCTCATGACTATTACTTAGCAATAATCAGGAGGAGGTTCCAGACAATGTAGAAAAAGAGGCAAGAATACAATGAGCAATTGCTTGCCTGGCAAGCCTGAGGTCATGAGCTCAATTGCCAGTACCATAAAAAAGAACACAATGAGCTACAAATACCAAAAAGAAAGGAACAAATGATGTTTGTTTGCCAGCGTATCTAAGAGAATCAACTAGAAACCAAATATGAAACTGCTTAAAAACAATGAAAAACAAATACAAAATAATGGAAGTTTGGCAAAGTACACACAAATAAAAAACATACAAAAATGAATCACATTTACAAGAACAAGTACAGTAGTCTAAGTAATCACACCCCAAAGATGTTCACGTCCTAGTCCCTAGAACCTGTGAATATGTTATCTTCCATGGCAGAAAATCCTGATAGAGGCAATTAAGATAGGGAGATTTCCCTGGCTTATCCAGAAAAGCACCGTGTATTTCTAAAAATCCTTATAAAAGAGAGACAAGAAGATCACGGTCAAAGAAGAATTATAGTTGAGTGTAGTAGCACAGAACTGTATTCCCAGAACTCTGGGAGGCTGAGGCAGGAGGACAGCAAGTTTGAGCCCAGCCTGGGCAGCTTAGAGTTGGATGAATAGCTTAGTACTGGGTTTAACATCCAGTACTACAAAAAAAGAAAAGATACTAAGTATGGAGAAGTGGTTAAACAGATAAGCTTGAAAGATGGGAGGCAGGGCCACAAGCTAAGGGATGTTGGCAGGCTCTGGAAGCTAGCTGGAAACAGTAAGGAAATGGGTTCCCCCTTGAGCCCCAGAGGGAACACAACTAAACACTTTGGTTATAGCCCATGGAAACTGATTTCGGACTTCCAATCTCCAGAATTGTAAGACAGTCAATTTGTGTTGTTTTACGCCATTAGATTTGCAGTAATTCGCCAAGCTAGCAACAGGAAACTAATATAAGTAACAAGATAAGATAGGGAGATTTTTCAAACCCTATTCAAAAAAGAAGACACCACCAACTTTTAATAGCTACAAATTAATCTAACTAGAAATGTCAAGATGTACATGAAGATTTTTTGTTTCTAAAAGACATAAAAGAACACAGTACAGAAAGAAATCTCATGTTCTTGAACAGAAAGACTCAAAAGTGAGAAATGTCAGTTCTGTTCCAGTTAATCTACAAATGTAATACACTTACAATGGCAATTTTTGAAATTGGAGATAAAAATCTCAAATAAATGCCAGGCGTGGTGGCACATGACTGTTATGCCAGCCCTTGGGAGGCTGAGGTAGGAGGATCATTCACTGTGAGTTGGAGACCAGCCTGGGTTACAAAGTGAGCTCAAGGCCAGCCTGAACTGCCTAGGGAGATCCTGTCTCAAAAAGACAAAAAAATTTACCAATAAATTAGTTGGTAAATTCACTCACTCATTCTATGAATATTTTTAAAGTTCTGACTGTGCTGTGCCCCAGGCATGCTTTAGGGGATCCATTTGATAAAGTGGTAGGAAAAGATGTAGTTCATTCTCGGGAAGGAGGCAGAAAATAAGTGAACAAATACTATATATATATTCATATAATTTTAATTCATAATGATGATTGGCTATAATTTATTAACTTCCAGTATCCCCTGTACAACTGTGTATGCCAGTAAGGCCCATGAAGAAAAAGCAGCGTGCAGACAGGAAGGATGGCTGAGCGAGGCCCTCTGCAGGGCGACACGTGCCAGGGACCCTGGGGACTGAGTGAGTCATCGTCAGCTCCAGGGAAAGGAGTCTGAGAGAAGGGACCACACAGCAAAGCCCCCAAAGCAAACTGCTTGGCACTCTCAGATAAAAAGAAATTCCCTGTAAATGTATTTGAGGAGATTAATGAGAAAAACAAGGAAAAAAGCCTGAAAGAAATCTACTGAAAAGAAGCATAACCAGATAGCAGGACCTAATATAAAACCAGAGCAGTATTTCTCAACTTCCTTTTGTAGTAACCCTTGAAAGGGATCTTTTTAGGTATTTTTTCCTAATTGCTCATCTCATTCCCTATAAAATTCTCACGTCACGGGGATGAGAAAAAAGTTAATATATTTGAAAAAAACTGATTACCCAATATCTAAAGAGTACTTAGAGTGAAGAAAAACACCAGAAACAGCATACAAAAGTGGGCAATGAACAGAAAAAAGTAACTCATCAGAGAACTATAACAGGCCTCTAAACAATCAAAGAGTGACAAATTAAAATGGTTCTGGCTCATTAAATTCTCAAACACTTTAGGGAGCAGACCCAGGGTTAGTAAGGTGTTGAGAACCCAGCCTTCGGCCTTCGTATGCCACCGATGTGTTTGCAAACAGAATCTTTGTGAAGAGGGATTTACAAAGATCCTGGTGTCAGTTACGCTCTCACAATACCCAACACCCACAAATCAAAAACGAAGAGGTTTATTTTGGTTCCCAGTCTGTAGAGAGTTCAGTCTATAGCCCAGGCTGCAAGGCCGGACAGCACGGCAGAGGGTCATGGCAGAGGAGAGCTCCTCACGGCACAGTAGACAGGAAGCAGTGAAAGAGATCAAGGGAGGAGCCAGAGAGGGAGAGACACCTTTCTAAGCCACGCCCCCAGTGACCCACCTCTTCTGACCAGGCCTCACCTCCTAACCACAAATCAGCTGTAAACCCCCACAAGACAATCACCTTCCAAAACCCCGCCCACCTATGAGTACATGACGCGCTAGAGGACATCTAAATATAAAACCTAATAATTCATATCTCAGGCTATTCCACGCCTAACACTCATTTTAAGTATGCAAAGATAAACCATATTTAATTGAATCTAAAATGCCATTCTTATAAGATACACCAATATTTTATGTATTAAGACAGAAAAAATCCTGCCAAGTAAATTATATTACAATTATTTGCATGTTTCATAGAACTAGTTTGGACTGGCTGAAAGAGCTTTTTGCAGGCCCATATATTACTATCATATATCATAAGACGAAAATATAACAAAAATTGATTGGGACATTCCT